CCTTTTTCTTATTTGCCTACAGTCTATGCTCATCTCCCATCAAAAGTGGCACTGCCCCCTAGAGGGTCAATTTGTTACTACATACTCTGTCTAGAAGCCCATATTTACGGACAAGCTTTAGCAGGTCGTCCCCCAGACACTCTCGCTGAAAAACATAAAAGACGTCTATAGACGTCTTTGGCAGCCAATGAGTTAAAACAAAGCTTTTCACAATCATATGCAGCCTTTTTTTGTCTTATTTTTTTCTTTTTCCCGCGCTCAGAGAGACCAACCTGAAGGTGCGGCAGGCTCTGCCGGTGACTGGAGACCTGGGAGACGACATAGAGAAACTGGCAGACTTCAACGGTAAAACTTCAGCTGGTGCTTTTAACCCTTTAAAGCCTGATCCAAGAAAAAAACAAAACAGAAAATTACCTTTTTTTTGGTTTGAATTCCTTATTTGGCCTTTTAACAAAATATGTAAAAAGAAAAAACAGAAATACATTTTTATTATTAATAATTTATTACTATGCGATAGGTCCAGATTATTTTTTGTGTAGTCTTCTGCCCCCTGTTATCAGGTGTATCTGATTGTGTACAATAGGATTTTGAGCAAAGTTTTTACCATTAAATTATGCAAAAGGAGTCAGACACAAAACATTTCAGAAACCGTATCAAATATGATACATTTGGCTTTACAGGGTTAAGAACTCAGCGAGACAAACTTTAATCTAGTTATCTATATCCCTATAAAGCCAAATGTGTCATATCTGATCCGGTTTCTTTTGGATCTGAGACTTTTTGCATCATTCAGTGGTAAAAGCTTTGCTCAAACCCCTGTTGTACACATTCAGATATACCTGATAACAGCCAGTAGAAGACTACACCAAAATACATTTTTGACTTATTACACGCTAATTTGATCAAAATAATGTCAGTTTTTTTTCTTCATATGTTGTTGAGGGGCCAAAGAAAGACTTCAGACTAAAAAAATCCCAATATTCTTCCTATTTTTCTTGGATCAGGCTTTAAAGGGATATAATATACTCATACTTTTTATTTACTAATTCTGCTTATATTTGGATTCTACCCATCTTCTTTGTATTGCTGTTACTAAATAAAGACATTAAAAAAACTAAAATAAACATATCCAGCTGTACATTTAATTTTGTTCA